TTGCTGCGGATTCTTAATTATTGTCGGGATGAGCAGATCAATCGAATGACGGTGAGTTGTCGCGGGGGATCATTGTTATTGGACAATTGGAAAGTAGTCAAGCGTTGCTACGGATCATCGGTAGTTTCCTGCTGTCATGGGACTGATCAATTGATAAGATCAAGAGGCTGGTTTGTTAAGGATGTTACAATTTCATTTATATCTATTGTTCCATTCTGTCGACGATCGTTGGCTTTGAAACCCCGACTGACGCAGTTGTTGAGTCAGCCAGTTTCTCGTGGTGAATTGAAGACTTGGGAATTTGGGAAGCTAGTATATGCCTTTTCGGCGATACGATGTTTTCAGGAAAAACGAACGAGAAGCAGATTGAGAATTATTTTGTGTAAAGTTATATACCAACGGTTTGGGGTTCATATTCGACAGCGCCTAGTGATCCGTGTTACCTATGACGAGCGTTATAGTAAGGCAGAGATACGAAGGGTGTGTGCGATATTGGTCAAGAAGCTGAATATTGATCCTTTATGGAGTAGTATGGTGATTAGGCACATGCGAATTGTATGGCAGAGGAACAGAACTGTGGGAGACATAATACACAATCACCGACAGGTAGCAAGGATTGATGATTTTGGGTGCAGATGTGGTGAAGTGGATAACTCTTTCCCGCGGATCAATGGTCATGTGGCTTTCCGTCTCGGTCATTTCGATGGTTTTCCGAGTTGCATGCAAAATTCTAAAAATATCCTCAGACCCGTCAGAAACTACCCCGTCTCCAGTTTACGATCTCAGGTTAGACAGTCCTTCGATGGTATGCAATCTCTTCCTGCGCTATCCCCTAACGAATATCACCCTAGCCTTTTCTCCTCGTGTGTTGTTAATAACCCGGTTGTTGGTTCTAGTGAGTTGGAGGTTTCGGAGGATGTTGTGAAACAGCAAGGAGTAAGACTGAAAGAGCTGGTATGCTCCCCTTTGGATCACAATCCGGGGGATACATTTGTGTGTTGCCCCTCAGTCTATGGGGTTGGAATGAGGAAGTTATTTATGGAAAATCCGTCTTTTATTCCGGTCAGTAAAGGTGAGGATGAAATTGTAGAAGAGTGTAAATCGCAGTATAGAAAGTTGGAATTTGACGCTATTGGAAAATGGAAGAAGAATGGCATGATTGGTAAGGCGTACTGTATACCTAAGCACAAAGATGTCTCACGCTGGCGTCCGATTTGTCCATCTTTCGCTGAAGGATCGATATTGGCAGGAAAACGGGTGTCTAGAGCGGTTAACTGCTTACTATGGAGACTTCCCGAAAAACTGCATTTCAATCTTCGTTGCACTACTGATATGGTGAAATGAATCGGGGACATAAACGACGGTCTTGGTAAGGAGGAGTTGATTCTGGGAGGATCCTTTGATATTAAGGAAATGTTTGCTAATCTCCCTCACCAATCCATTCTCCGATCCTTACAATGGGTATTGGGATATTGGAAGAGTGTGGGATTTTCCGGTGTTCTAGTCCGAAAACATGGCAAGATGGCAAGAATGACCAAAGGCAAGGGAGAAGAAGGCTGGGTCCAACTGAGTTTTTCCACGATCATGAGGTTTGTTCAATATGAATTGAGTAACACGTATGTAATGGCTGCTGGCACATTGATTTCTCAGACGGTCGGCATCCCGATGGGAAAGACGACCAGCCCGGCCTTGGCATGTTTGATGTGTGCATACGACGAGTTCAAATTCTTATCGTCTTTGGGATCTGACAGAGTCTTGGTACAAGGATGCAGGATTGTAGACGATGTTTCGTTTTTTGTAAAGTTTCGGACGAATGATCCGGGTGCAAAGGAAAAAGCTGGATTGATTTTGGAACGTTTCCGGTCTTGTTATGATGATGGTTTGGTGTTAGAACAGACGAATACGGGACAAGAATGGGATTTTATCGGATGTGTCCTGAAGGTCGCTACCAATCCGTGTAAGTTGTTTTGCGTGGCTACGCACAAGAATCAGAGAGGAGGCATCAACCAACCTTTGGCATTCCAAAGTATTCAGGACTATTGCTCCTTTTCTAGCAGGCAGCAGAAGCTGGCAGTAATCAACTCTTTCTTGCACCGAGCCAAGACGTTCACTTCGATTCCTGGGTTGGAGTTATCTTTTCTTCTCACGTTGAAGTGTGAGTTGTGGCAGCGAGGGTACCCCGACAACTTCTTCGACAGTGCACTAACGAATTTCTCATGGAAACACGCACGGTGTTGGGATCATTGGATTCCCGTCCTGACTGGATGGCACCGCCTCTTCCATTGCAAGGGGCTGACTTCATAGCATGGGACCTGTTGTTTTCTTGAAATTAGTCGCAGTAGCGGATTTGGATTTGTAGTAGATTTAAGCGTATGGTTTTGTGGTTAGTAGTATTGATGGCAATTATGACCTAAGGATCGGTTCTATGATGAATGATTGATATTGGGGGCTTGGCACGGTTCCAATTGAGCATTGTGGGAGTTGTTGGCCCGTGGGTTTGAGTTCCGAGATATTGCTGAGTTCTTCTAGAAGTTGATGACCCGCGGGTTGCAGTCCCGGGGCATTGCTGTGAGGTCTACTTTTAGCTTCATTTTTCTACTTTTGTATTTTTTTTCTATTTTTTCTGTTTTTTCTATTTTTACCATTTTCTGTTTTTGCCTACCTTTTCTATGCTTGAAGGTCTCTCGAAGATGATTGCCCGCGGGTTTGGTAGTGCTGTTTACTTTTGATGGTCTCTCGAAGATTCGATTGTGGCCTCTTTCGGTCCTGCGGGTTGCAGTCCCGGGGTCCGTACAGGTGAGAT